GTCGTCGCTGCAGGGATGAGGTGCATTTCGACCCCCGCCAGAGGGGCCTGACTGAGAGTCGAGTGTTAGTTGGGGGGCTCCGAGCACATGTGCCATACATCTTGGAGGTGCAGGCTGTCAATGGGGTGTCCGAGCTCAGCCCTGACCCTCCCCAGGCTGCCGCCATCAATGTCAGCACCAGCCATGAAGGTGAGCCCTTTTCCTTCTCCTTAAGGACAGCTTGCTTCAACTCCTCAGCTCTCCTCCTCCCCATCCCTGCTTTCCAGCCAGCCTGCGTTAGACATCACGTTCTCGAGTCTGTCCTCTCCACCCTTGGGTGCTGCTGCTCCCAGAGGCTCCAGTCCCCCCAACAGTAATTCTCCACTCTGCACCTCAGTCCCTTCTGCAGTGCCCGTGATGCACCAGGTGAGCCGGGCAGCCAACAGCATCACAGTGTCCTGGCCACAGCCCGAGCAGACAAACGGAAACATCCTCGACTACCAGCTGCGCTACTATGACCAGGTGAGTCAGGAGCTTCCGCAGTGCTCAGCAGTGCCCCCGAGAGCTCTCAGCCACCACAACCCCAACCCTGCATGGGTGTTGCTACAGAGCGGGGCAAGAAGTGCCAAGATACCAGGGAGATCGCAGAGGAAAACAGGCATAAAAGCAGGGACAGAGTGATGAGTGATGGTTGTCCCTAGGCAGAAGACGAATCCCACTCCTTCACCTTGACCAGTGAGACTAACACTGCCACTGTGACACGGTTGAGCCCTGGCCACATCTATGGCTTCCAGGTGCGGGCACGGACTGCAGCTGGCCATGGCCCCTATGGGGGCAAAGTCTATTTCCAGACCCTACCTCAAGGTGAGAAGAAGTTTAGGTGGGCATTTGGGGTTCCAAGACTGTCTAAGCCATAAATCTTGACCCATCACCCTCCAGACCAGAGTCTCTGGAAACGGAGGATACTGTGGGTGACCCCTGACTTTAGAGGTTGTTGGGGTAAAATGGGAGACAGTGAATTAATACGAGTGTGTTTGCAGGTATGAATGTGTGTAATACAAGCCTATGTGGACAGTTCTTGAATATGTAGGGTGGGAAGGATGTTCAGAAGGATGAGGGTACGCGTGAGGTGTGTGCATATGGCGCTGTGGATGTCCAGGGGCATCGGAGGCATGTAGACCCAAAGAAAGCCGGGCTCACCCCTGTGACTCTGCCACTGATTTTTCAGGTGAGGTGTCCTCCCAGCTACCAGAGAAGCTGTCCTTGGTGATTGGTTCCATCCTGGGGGCCTTGGCCTTCCTTCTACTGGCAGCCATCACTGTTCTAGCTGTCATCTTCCAGCGGTGAGCCCCTGCTATTCCTACCCACCTTGCCCCAGTACCACTCAAGCCCTGGGCACCCCAGGAACCTTTTAGCACCTCGCCTATCCTTCTGCTAGTTCATTGCTAGGGAGGGTAAGAGGGTCCTGGTCAAGCCCCCTCAGTCCTCAGACCCGTGACTGGAAAGTTGTCTGCTGGGTCAGGGTGGTTGGGGGGCAGACACAGGCTGACAGAAACAGGTGTGATTCTAGGCTCTTGGTTTGCCCCTCAGGAAGCGGCGTGGGACCGGCTACACGGAACAATTGCAGCAGTACAGCAGCCCAGGTTGGGAAGGGGAGAGGGATTGTGACAGGGACTGCGGGCTTGGAGCAAGGCACATGCCTGGTGAGGGAGAGCCCCTTCCTCACCATCTTCCAGAAGTAGATGGGTGGGGTATGCCTTGGGTATTTGGGTGCCCATGCTTATAGCATGCGCTCATAACACACTGTACTCTTCAGGGCTTGGAGTAAAATATTACATTGATCCGTCCACATATGAGGACCCCTGCCAGGCCATCAGAGAGCTTGCTCGAGAAGTCGACCCTACGTATATCAAGATTGAGGAAGTCATTGGGGCAGGTATTTGAGGGGGGCAAGGGATGCCTGGGAGGGCCTGGCGATTCCTTGTAAGCACAGCTGAACACGTCCTGACTTCTTTCCATACCGGTATCTATTCTTCCAGGTTCCTTTGGAGAAGTGCGCCGGGGCCGACTACAGCCACGGGGAAGACGAGAACAGGCTGTGGCTATCCAGGCCCTGTGGGCAGGAGGTGCTGAGAGCCTGAAGATGACCTTCCTGGGCCGAGCAGCACTGCTGGGCCAGTTCCAGCACCCCAATATCCTGAGGCTGGAAGGTGTAGTCACCAAGAGCCGGCCTATCATGGTGCTGACGGAACTCATGGAGCTTGGTCCCCTGGACAGCTTCCTTAGGGTCAGTGTTTCTCGGGTGAAGGAGGGGAGTTTTGGGTTGAGGAAGGAAAGCTTACAGCTACCACATTTTCCAGAAGACAACCTTGCCTCTGCTCCTTACCAGCCAGTCCTCCATCATGGTCTTCATCCTTCATTCCCAGGCCATTTTGATTCCTAAATTTGTTCCCAACTGCCCTCTTGCACCGATATGTGTTTTGCAGTGTGCCTTCCCTATTGATGACCTCTATCCTCTGTTCTTCAGCAGCGGGAGGGTCAGTTCAGTAGCCTGCAGCTGGTGGCCATGCAGCGGGGTGTGGCTGCGGCCATGCAGTACCTGTCTAGCTTCGCCTTTGTGCATCGAGCACTCTCTGCCCGAAGTGTGCTGGTCAACAGCCACCTGGTGTGCAAGGTGGCCCGACTTGGCCACAGTCCTCAGGTGAGTTCAGGGCCTTGGCGGCTCAGTGCTCTTCAGCATGCTGGAGGGAAAGCCAGAATATGGGAACCGCTGGTGGGATATCATGGTGCCTGGGGTTAAAGACTCAATCTCATAGTGAGGAGAGGGAAGCCTGGGTTTAGAGCACTTGAGAGTCTGAAGGAAGCAAGGAAAAGTAAGGGAGGACAGGAAGACAAGAGAACCGCAAAACTAGTACCAGCTCCGACTTGCCATCAGCTCAGGCGTCATAACGGGCTGAAGAGTCAGCACAGTGGTATAAAATCCTAAATGCTCCACTCTCAAGCCCCAGAACCTTGTGCAGTTTCATAAGCATGAAGCTTTGATTCCACGCCTTGTATCTATTCTGCACGATGGTCACAGGGATGGAACGAGGTGCTGGATGTGCGACTCCTGAGACATTCAAGCATCTAAGTTGCCCAGGGAATGTGACTCTTACTATGGTTATTACTAGTTTACCTCTCCCCTTCAGGGTTCAAGTTCCTTGCTTCGCTGGGCAGCCCCAGAGGTCATTACACACGGGAAGTATACAACGGCCAGCGACGTCTGGAGCTTTGGGATACTTATGTGGGAAGTGATGAGCTACGGAGAACGGCCCTACTGGGACATGAGTGAGCAGGAGGTGAACTTGACCTAGACCCCACCTATGCTCTCATATCCTAAACCCACCCTTTTCTTACCCATTCTTATCCTAAGATCTTGTGACTGGAACATTCCAAATTTTATAGTTCCCTTGCCATCTCAGCCTCCTGCTACACCTGAATTCAGCCCATCACCCCTTTTCTAACACCCTTACTATAGTAATAGCTTCTCATCCCGTGTTCCTCTTGACCGGCAGGTGCTCAATGCAATAGAGCAAGAGTTTCGGCTGCCCCCACCTCCAGGGTGCCCTACTGGACTCCACCTACTGATGTTAGACACTTGGCAGAAGGACCGTTCCCATCGGCCTCACTTTGACCAGCTCGTGGCCGCATTTGACAAGATGATACGCAAGCCAGATACCCTCCAGGCTGAAGGGGGCCCCGGGGACAGGTCTGAAGCTTGGGGCTGGAGCCTGGAACAGCCAGGGAGGGTAGATGTAAACAAAAGAGAAAATTGAGCAGAGAGAGTAAGACGAAGAAGAAACCTGTTTTGCTTTCCCCCTCCCCCACCTTAGGCCTTCCCAGGCTCTTCTGAACCCTGTGGCCTTGGCCTTTCCTTGCCTGGACTCTCCCCAGGCCTGGCTTTCGGCCATTGGTCTCGAATGCTACAAGGACAACTTCTCCAAGTTTGGCCTCTCCACCTTCAGTGATGTGGCTCAGCTGAGCCTGGAGTAAGTGGGTTTGATGAGATGGGAGGGGAGATACTCTGATCCCCAGGCCAGGGAGCAGATCCGAGATATTGAGGGAGAGGGCCCAACTCCAAGACTGATCCACTCCTTCCTCACCAGAGACCTGCCGGGTCTGGGCATCACCCTGGCTGGCCACCAGAAGAAGCTATTGCACAACATCCAGCTCCTCCAGCAGCATCTGAGGCAGCCAGGCTCTGTGGAGGTATAAAGTCTGGTCGGGAATCTGTGAGCCACCGATGCCCAACCCAGTCCTGGACATAGGGCGGAGGAAGTACGTGTGAGACTGAGTCAGGCTTTATTCTGGCCTTCATACCTGCCGCATTAAACCCAGCCCACTGGACACTGCAGCCCCAAATCCCGCCTTTCCAACAGCCTCCCCCATATTAAAGGAAAAGAAGGGAATTTACAAGTTTAGGTGTGTCTGTGCCTCGGTCTGCAAGGAAGAGCTAGGGAGGCCTTGTGGGAGGAGCAGCGCTGCATGACAGGGTGGGCCAGTGGTTAAGTTCACTGAAATATAGAGGGAGCTGGGTGGGGATCAGGAAATGGCTTTATTAGAAGGTGGCAAGGCTCATCCCAGCTTCTCAGCCCCAAGACTGGTGCCTGCATCTCTCCATCACACACCTTCCCACAAGCTCAGTGTTCTCCATCAGTTGTCTGGAGCACTCTGGGAAGAGTTCCATCCCCTTACAAGACCTGGGTGGAGACAGGCGCCCAAGATGGCAAGCCTGTCGTTAAAGTGCTCTGGTTTGCAGTGGAGTTTCCGTAAGAGCACAAGGAATGCTTGGTTACGGCAAGGACCACAAAGTCGTCTTTCCCTTTGCCCCAAGCTGAAGGAGCTGTGCAGACCTGGGACATTTATTCCCAGTGTGCATTCTTCAGCATGTTCCTCCCCCTCCCCGCTGGACTTGGGAGATGACTTCTACTTTTTGACCAGTTCTCTTTCATTCGAACATGACACTTGGTGGAAGCCAACCTTCAGATCTGGTACTCCCAGCCCTCCCCATCTTCTAGGCCCCTATTGATTATCCCCCGAAGGTCCCTCCTTAGAGTCCCTTTCCGAAGCCTTTCCCAGTTGAAGCTGCTCCGGGAGGTGCTTCGAGACACTGAGGGTGTGGGAAAGGACAGGTAGGCACCAAAGGAACGTGCTATCTCCAGTTTCTCTCCAGAGTCTTTTTCCAAGTCCTCTGAATAGAGGTTGTCGGGTTGCTGGAAGGCTCGGGCATAGTGGCGGATACGTTGCCTGTTGAGATCTTGCCTATCTTCCACCCTGGAGGGAGTCGGAAGAGGGATTCAGATAGGGTGGAGCTGAAAATAAGACCTAAGATCAACACTTCTCATTCGGCCCCACCATTGTTGGAGGTTCTATGCAGCCACCATGGGGACACGGAACACCAGCCCCTCAGAAACCAGGTCCCAGAAAGCTATAGGCTCTGCTCTGGGGATGCTTAGGAGTCCAAGCTCAAAATGGAGTCCCGTTCTCAGTAGCTACACTTAAGACAATTAAGCCTTGGACCCAGGAATCATACAGACCTCCATAAAGCTTCTGGAAGCAAGACACCATGCAAAATGATGGCCTATGTCACTTACCGCAGGAACCAGCGGTCTCCTAGCCCATACTCGCGCCCACAGATCCCAGAGCGAGGCCACAGGCAGCGAGGCAGCTTCCGCTCCAGCATCACAGTGGTAGCTACAACCTGTATTTAGGGTCAGAAACCGAAGTCAGAGAAGTCCTGTGCAGACTGAGAAGGGTAGGGAGAGGACGGGAAGCCAGGTGAAGGGAGGATGAATTAGTAATAAACTCCTGGGTTATGGCTCTCTGGAAATGGAAACAAGACCCCAAACCAAGATGGCAGTGTGAACTTGGTGGATCCCCTTCTGTGGGAGAGCATGAACGGAGCTGGAGCCCCACAATTCTTTATCCTGTGACTTGAAAGCCATGGCAAAGCCAAGTGAGGTGCAGGTGACCTGTAAGAGTTTTCCCTCAGGAGAGACCTTCCAAAGGTATAGGCAAGAGTGTGGAAAACATAGAAGAAGTTCACAGGTCTCAGAATGTTTTGAAACTGCATACATAATGTGATTTAAAAACAAAAACCACCTCGCTTGGAAACCTAATATCAAGATATCTTCAAAATATTTCTCCCAGCCAACCCTTCTTCGCCAGCTTAGGTTTTACTCCTTTTCCATACATCACAGTTAAATGCTTTCCAGGGTTTCATAGTTCCATTTTTATTTTACCTAAATTATTTTTGTTGGGCTAAATTCTTTTCCAGGTATATTTTTAAATGAGGACTTGATTCATCTCATTGTCCTTTATGCCCATCATAATATTCTGACTGAAAATAGCTTCTGCAGCTAAAGAAAGTGTTGAGTTTTTTAAAAAATTTTTCATTATTTATAACACTTCCGATTTTTCTGGGTCAAATTTTTTAGGCTTTGATGTTTTCAAGAAGACTAAATACTTTCATTCTTACTTGGGAGCACAATTTACCAAATATACTTTTAGCCATTTGTTCATTTTATTTCTAGAAAAGACTGCGGGTTTAACTGTTGAGAAAATACACGGAATTCTATCCAGAGTTTCCAGAAGTGCTCTTTGTTACTAATTAAATTCCCCTGGAATGTTGCATTATTTTATAACTTGTGCAAAAACTTATCCAAATATACATGAGTACAATCGGCGGCTTTTATCTGAGCATGGCCAGTTCCTGGGCAGGAAGAAGATATATGCAGTATCCCTCCTAGCCACCAGAGGGCTCACCTGTGCCCTCCAGAGCTCATCCCTCTCATGGGCAACTCTCCAATGAGTGTCACCCATCATGGCAATGAGGAGGTTGAGCATGAGCAGTGTGGCAATGATGGCAAAGGCGGCGTAGGTGATGCTGTACATGAAGGGCAGATCCACGTCATAGTTGGCAGGGCCGTCAATGACGGTGAGGAAGAGCTCAAAAGTGCTGAACAGTGCCATGGGGTAGTCAAAGAAATGGCCCAGCTCATCCGGGTCCTCTGTCTGGAAGATGATATAGAAGGCTGCGCCACCCAAGGGGTGAGAGTTACCATGGCAACTGTATCATGACTAGCCCACCACCAGCCATTAATTTTCTGTTTCCATCCCGTTCCCTTATCTTATATTGCTCATCTCTAAAGAGTACATTTTAAATTATTTATTTTATTTTTGGAGATTATAATAAAATTCTATTACTCCCCCTCCTCTTTTCTCCTTCTGAGCCTCCTTCTGAGCCCTGCCATATACCCCTTCTTGCTCTCTATCAAACTCATAGCCTCTTTTTCATTAATTGTTTATCTATTTTCTATGTGTGTGTGTGTGTGTGTGTGTGTGTGTGTGTGTGTGTGTGTATTTCCTAAATACAATCAGCTCAGTCTGCATAATGGTACTTGTATATGTTTCCAGGGCTTACCACTTGGTGCTGGATAACAAAGAGGTATTTTCTTCCTCGAGGAAGACTGTCTCCTTAGTTCTCTGAGCAGGGTTAAGGCTCCCTGCCCTTTCCTCTGTCCACCCCAGTATGTCTATTGTTGCTGTCCTTGATCAGCTCACAAATGATACATTTTATATATTACACTCCACTGTTTTCTGCAGGGTTTATGCCCCCAATCTCCTGCCCCTGACACTACGGTCCCTCACTCCTGAGTAGCAACCCATCTTTAGATATTTCATGGCCTCTTCCAAGTTCAGCCTGAAGGATTATATACCCATAAACTCTCCCACCTCAGCCCTTTCCTCCTGCAGCTGCCATCTGGATGAGTGATTTACCTGAAGCAAATCCCAGGATCACCACAGCCATCAGCCAGCAGAATCGCATCAAGTCACCAAAAATCATCTATGGAGAGAATGAGGCAGAGAACACCACTCTTTCAGGCCTGTTACTCACCGGACACCAGCAAACCTAACCCCAAAAGTCATATAACAGGCTAGCTGGCAAACTACAACCTGCTGGCTAAATCGACCTGCCATGTCTTGGTGGGGATCTTAAACTTAGGATGATATTTAAGCTTGTAAGAGTATTTTAATTTTTTTCAAAGAAAAAATTAAGAGGAACATATAACAAGAATTGTGTGGGTTTACAACACATGAAATATGTACTAACCATCCCCCTGGAAAAGTGTTTGTTTAACGTTGGCCTAGGGCTCTATTTTAGGATGCATAGGGGAAGTACTGACCTTCTGGATCATGATGGTGAAGGGACCCAGCATTTGGAATCCTCTGGCAAAGTACATAACATTACACCAACCCAACACCAGAGCAAAGGACATAGGCACCACCTCTCCATTTGCATTGGTGAGCCGCATCACCATGGTCACCAGCACCATGAAGGCATAAGTGACACTGGGAGTGGGGTGGGGGGAGAAAAGAAGGAATAATGAGAAAAAATTCAGGTTCATTCTAGGGACCTAGCAGCAAAAGTACAGTTGTAACAGACCCCATATTGTCGCATTCAGCCTCAACATACACAGTCCCCCGGGGTTACACATCGTAGAGGGAACTCAGAGCTAAGGCAAAGGGGGGCAACGGGGGCTCTAGTGAGGTGGAGAATGAGAGTGAGATGAAGGAGACACTCACATGATGACATGAAATGGCCCCCCAAGGATGGTCTGCCCAAAGAATCGAGTGACCCCCAACCTCAAGATGTCGGGAATCTGGAAAGAAGTCAAGGAGACGTAAAGACACTTGCAGACCAGAATGTGGGCTGGTCCCTGGGGCAGACAGTCTCCTGCGGGACCCTATCCACACCTTACCTCCACCAGCAGGATGATCACAGCCCCAATGACGCTCACCAGCTCCCCCACCAGCCGTAGGTCATCCTTGGGGGTCACATAGGCCTCCTGGGAAGTAAAGATGTGGGTCAATAACCTGTCTCCATCCTCACAACAGTTCCCAAGGCCACCAGCTCTTCGGAGTTCTCTCTAGACCACAAAGTTAAGCTAGTCTCACACTCTGCTCCTGGAGTAAGAATGTATGCATGTTTCTGTGTGCATGTTGAGTCTATGGCCCCACTTATCAGCCATCTAGGTGAGAGGTGAAATCCTGGTGTGGAGTCAGGAAAAAGAGACAATGTTGTGAGGAGAAGATTTCCGATGTCCTATCTGTTGCTACCAGGGTGTCACCTGAAGGAGCTTCTGCTGCAGGAGGGTGTTGTCCCGGGGATTGGTGCGGTTACTGATCCTGGGCTTGAGGGGGCGGTAGACACAGCACATGGTAAAGCAGATGATGTACAGCACGTAGATGGCACCCAGCACGCAGAAGTAGGGCCGCCCATACCTCTTCCACTTGAGGCTCACCAGCTCCTTCACGGGTGTCTGGTCCAGAATCTGGCGGGCCTACAATAGAAGCATTAGAACAGCATCTCCAAGACCCCAACAATGGAAGGACTAGAACAGTATCTCTGAGACCCCAACAACAGAAGCAATAGAACAGTATCTCCTAGACCCCAGAAACAGATGGAATAGAACAGTATCTCTGAGACACCACCACCCCTCACTAGGGTCTGTACTGGAAAGTCTCTGTACCTCGCGTTTCTTGGTAGTGACAATAAGTTCCAGCAGGGATTGATCGTCTCCTGAGGAGTCGATCTCAGTGAGGTCATAAAGTGTGGAAGTCAATGGCCCATACGACCACTGGATGTGCTTCCGCTTCTGCATCAGATGCTGGAACATCTGGAAGAGAGTGAAGATGGTCAGGATCCGCAGTTGAAGGCAGTCACAGCCTGGATGAAAAGGACCAGAGAAGGTAGCCTGGATGAAAAGGACCAGAGAAGGTGCTGGCCTTCTCTTAAAGACCACTCCCTTTGGAAGACAAAAGAACTTGTGTTACCCAGAATCCTAGATTTATCCTGCCCTGGGACTCATTCCAGAGTCTGGAGATATGGGGAAACTGCCAAGTCACTCTTCTGAGAAAGACAAGTGGGCTTAGGCATTGCAGAAAATCATGTAGGTCTAGGCTACATGAATTCCCAGGACTTCAGTGAAGGTTATCAGAAAATCAGAAAAAAATGGACCAGTGACATGAAAGACATAGGTTGAATCAGACCCTAGTTAGAACCGAGAGTGGGACCTACACTTCCTAGGTGTGTTCAGTTCTCTTTGTCCCTAGCAATGTAAAATGAGGGTCATTGAAAACACCTTAGGGCATGGGTCTCACCACAATGTTGCCTTCCACTCCAGCCAGCTTGAAGGGGGTGAGTCCCTGGTTGTTGGGAACAAGTTCTAGGGACTTCAGGTGGTCTCCCCCATCATAGGACAGTAGCAGGTTATACATCTGGCAGGCAAAGGTTTTGTTGGGCTGCAAGATGAGTATGTGCAGCACAGTATTTCCTGGGGAAGACAGAGGTAGGCATAAGGTCCCCTGATGAGTCACTCCCTGTCCCCCCTGTCCTCTCACACCCAGCATCCAGCACTTTCTCCTCATCCCAGCTCTTACCCAGGGAGTCCTGGGCCCGGATGTCAGCTCCATGCTCAATGAGCAACCTGACAATCTCCTCACTGCCCACACAGGCAGCAAAGGACAAAGGGTGCTCTCCTGTGGACACAAAGAGATAGGTGACAGGAGACAGCAAGATCAGAAGAAGAGAAGGACTTTTGCCCTCCAGCCCAACAACTGCCTTCTCCTCCTCCCATAACTCATCTTGGGATCACTTGCCCAGCAGAAACCTCAGGAAAACACAGTCCAGAGGGTGATAGAGGAAATTGGCTTCTGACTCTTGGCTCTAAGCCTCAGAGGCTCTGCCTTCCAAGCTTCCCAGAAGATGCAACCAAAGAAAGGGTCCTCCTTAGCCTCCCCTCCTATTGCTATTGCCCACTTTCCACCTTTGAGCCTGGCCCTGGATCTCACCATAGTAGATGAGGTTGTGGGGACTGCGTTGGAAGGCGGAGCCTGTAACTCTGGCAGAGACACTGGCCCCTCTGGCAAGCAGGGCTCGGACCAAGTTCACATTCTGGTTCATAATTGCGATGTGTAGTGCAGTCTGACCTGACCCAGAAAGAGCTGTAAGTCACATATATGCTCCCAGAGCCCTGAAGGAATCCCTCTCATGCTTCCCCATAGTTTCCTTTTGTGTGGCCATCTTGGATGGATGGCAAAAACCCTGGGGGTTTTAAAGGTTCCCAGTAGATCCTATTGTTCCTTCCATCCAACCCTGCCCCTTCTCTGGGTCTCTGGAGGATCAGGGACCAGATGTAATAACTTGTTATCAACACTTAGAAAAAGGACAGCTTGTGGAATAATAATAATAAAGATTAGGGATCTTTAAATAACTTGTCTGGTTCCCCAAATTATTTATCTGAGATGCTGGAAAACACAGCTAACCATCCATCCTAGGGCCTCACCTTCATATAGTTCAGAGGTCATGGGCTCAAAGACCAGCTCTGGAGCAGCCTCCATCAGTACCATGGCAGCCTCCAGGTTATCATAGAGGGCTGCTATGTGCAATGCAGTTTCTCCCACGGCTCCTGGTATTTAGAGGGGGGAAAAAGGCATACAATGTGTTTGGGGCAGTCAATGGAGAAAAAACAGGCTCTGAGTCTTGGGATCTCTTGGGGAAGTCTGTGAGATGGGGCACGCCTGACCCACAGATCATCACTAGGTCTTTGCTCCATACCTCTCTGGTGCACCTCACATCCTTCAAACTTGAGCAGCTTACTCAGAGCCTGGACATCATTTTCTTTGGCAGCTAGAAGAAGAGGTGACTCCCAGATCCTACAGGGAAATGGGACGAGAAAGGTGGTGGCAGTGAACATACCAAGGTGTGGGGCAAGTTATGAAGGCCTCACTCAGATATGTGTGTCTCAACAGCAAGGACAGCAAGGTTCACCAACCCTTTTCTTCCCATTGTTTAGTTCTTCTAAACTGACTTTGAACATTTAGTCCACATAAGAGATGCCCTAACTAGTTTTTTATTCCCTGGTGCTGGGACCAGAAGACCCAGGGTGTGTGTGGTATGTAGAGTGTGTGTGTGTGTGTGTGTGTGTGTGTGTGTGTGTGTAGTGTGTGTGTATGCATGCATATAAAACACCTGTGCATATTGGACAAAGAAAGGAGGCGTTTTGTTCAGGCACACACTCACGCCTGTTCATGCCTGAAGTGGTCCTATTGTGGACTCAGCAGTGCCCTGAGATTGCCCTGCATGATAAGCCTGATTTTCTAAATACTAGAGGTATAAGAAGTTCCTCCCTCATATTTGTGGAGGAAGCCAACATGCAGAGACTAGTGGGTTTTCTCCTATTACAAGAAGCCTTGCTATTTGACCTTCAGTGTGGAACATTTGATTCCTCTACTTTCCTCCTCTCTGGCAATATCTTCAGGACTCAGTCTAAAAATAGCCATGGCCCATGTGAGAAAGCCTGGCTCCAGGCAGTGGTCATTCATACCTCTCTCTCCTCACATCTTACTTTTTTCAATCCTTCTGCTTAAATCAGGAATCCTGTTGATGATAAGCATCTTATGCAAATTAATAAGAAACTTCAAATCACTGATTACCCTTTGACATGAAATGTCCAGGTCTGCAGTTTAGGAAGAGTTCCAATGGATTCTTGTGCAAATGAAAGTTCAGGAAACATTGCTCAAGCCAGGAGTGTGGTCCATGCATGTAAAATTGTTAAAGTGACATATCCAAGGCAAGCTTTGGAATCCCTGCTTCTAAAATGCACACTCAAAACCTTAGGAAGTGAAGTCATCCACCATCCTCATACCCTGTCTAGAGGGCCTTAGGGGCTACTTTATTTCCACTACTAGGACCTGTGCAGATATAAATGGTGGCCAGCAATGACAGATGAGGGAAAAGTAAAGAATCTAATTTAGAGAATTCATTTGTTGAATTTCATGTGAATCTGAATGTTCTCATTTTTCCTTTCCATTTCTTCTTGAGTGCACCCATTCTGAATTCAGTCCTTACCCCAACTCCCAGTCCCTAGTATCTTCCTATTTATTATTTGATTTTTATGCATTTTAGAAAAAAATTTATTCCCTGGCTCTACAAATCACCTCTCTAGTCTTACTGCGACTAAGAAACATGGTTATGTTTTTATAGAATTTTTCTTTCAGTTTGAGCAATTTGGTCTTTCTGCACGAGTAAATGAAATTATTGTATTTATCTATACATAGCCAATCACACGGCTAACAAAGGATCTGGAGAGGAGTTCCCATCCTGAAGTGCTGGCAGTGACAAGAAGCTTATAGCAAAGCTGGGGTTAGGAAGGTGATAAGCAGAAGAAAGTGACTTCTATCTCCCACAACCGTAATCCCAGCTCCCTCATAGGCCCAAGGGCAGCAACCAGGGTCAATCAATCATCTAAGATTTGCTCTCCATTTAGTTCTTTCTCTTTTTGCTACTAAAGTTCATTAATTCACATCTCTATGCTTTGGTCCAGGATTAACAAGACATTCTCTTGGTTTCCCTACACCCTACTTAATCCTCGTCCATCCTTTGTAATGCTGTCAAGACAGTCTTTCTAAATGGCTGCTGTCACAGCTTACAGAAGGCCGTTGGGTCTTTCAATGCCCAAAGACAAGGAACACAAAGGTCCTTCACGGTCTTTTGTGCAACCATTTTTCCATTCTCTGATCCTCCCCCTCACTCCTTACACCTGGCATTTTAATCTCACCGCACACCTCAGCCCCACAGAGCACACCGTTCTTCTTGGGCCTGTGCCCACAGGCTGCTTCTTCCTGGATGCATTCTCCCAACCCAGTGATTGTCCATTGTGCATTCTGCACTTCTGCACCCAGCAAAATGCCCTAGTGTGCTGTGGTTGCTCACTATGACATCTGTAGAATGGATGACTCAGTCGTGTTGCCAAGGTGCCTTTACTGCCTCTCCTATTGTCTCTATCACCCCCCCAGAGTCAACCTTAAATGAACATAAATTAAGTGAAAAACAGTGGTTGTTTCGAAAACATGGTGGCAAAACAAGTTTTCTAGATTCTTCGCCACCACGACTCTAGCCATTACTCTCTTACATAGACATTTTAGAGTCAGCACTAGACTGTAGGGGAAACAAAGCTTCCTCCAACACACACACACACAGCCACCACTACCCTATTCCTAGAACATGTTTTGCTCTTTCCTTTGATCTCATTTTTATTATAACATCTTGCACTTGGTGTTGTACATAGGACATGTTCCTTCCTCTAGACTTGGGAGTCACAGAGTTTCCTTTTGTTCATGACAGATCGCTGAAGCCGGCAAAGCTCCCCCACAAGCTTCTGTCGCCTGTGTCCTCCTTCCGCCTTTGTCTGGGGCTGGCCTAGCAGGCCTGGGAGAGAGCAAAGACTGCCGGATATAGACTACAGTTACACGATGCTCGGTTAACACCAAACTCTAGTCACATAACTATTTCAACACTATTTCAAGTGTCCTTTGAAAATACCGTGCATTTATACAATGTATTTTGATCATATCCATTCAGAACTTCTCTCTCCAACTCTATAAATATATCCTATGCAATATTTTGCTTCATGCCCGCAGAAAGAACTTACCCATTATTCAACTAAAAGTCAAATTGAAAGAGGTATCCCATGTCTTATCTGGCAACTTAGCCAGACCACACCCCGGGTAAAGGAACAGCGGAACAGCATATAACCCAACTCAATAATGTTTGTAAGAAATGTGCTCTTTTGTTGCAAACTCCAGAAGCCAGGAAAATGAAGAAGCAAAGGGTCAGGGAGCTTTTTTTTTTTCAGAGTACTTTATTACTTGCAGTAACTACATAGGGCCACAAGGTGATAGCAGAGAAAATCCTAACTCCCAAGATTTGGCAGTAAGGACACAGAACTCCAAACTTGACTCACAATCCTTGGTCTCCAAAAGAAGTGTAAGGAATACCGAAGAATCTTGTAGGTCCTCCAATAGCAGCCCATCACAGAAGGCTAAAGAACAACTAAGGAACAGGAGATAAAGGCAAAAGATGAGGCTGAACATCTCCTACAGGACATCAACAAAGAATTATCCCACTCAACCATGCCGGGGTAGAGAAACCCTGATTTACAGGTGCAATTATTCATAACTTATAAAGAGAGAAGAACTCTTCACATGACATGAAATTAAAATTCCATAAACATATAAAATGTTTTCTAATAATTAAAGTAAGGAAGAAAGAAAAAAGAGAGGAGCATAAGAAATAGAAGTTATAAGAAGATATTTCCAGGACTTCCCACAGGGCATTGAACACTGATTGCTCTTCAGGCTGATAAGGGATGGGGACTTGATTGGGGGAGAGGGAGAGATATGGGAGGCAGTGGTGGGGAGGAGGCAGAAATTTTTAATAAATAAATAAATTTAAAAAAATAAATAAATAAAAATAAAAAAAGAAGATATTTTCAGGTTCTTCAACATTTTGTTCTACTTTGCAATTGAGTATAAAGTTGAACAGTCTAGTTCCACAATGACTTGGGGAAGACTCAATAATAGGCTTCTTTGATGCAAAATGTATTATATTTTTGTTGTTGTTGGGGAAATAAGTGAGTGTTTTCTTGTTCAAGGTCAACATTGTGTCTCCAAGTGAGAGTCTTTGACTTCCCTCTTCCATAACTTCTGCTCCTCCAGTCCTCTGCTTCTGGCTCTTACGAACATGTAAGTCTATGTGTGCCGTGTACATGAGTCCTGCTCTGTCCTTTACTCTGGGAAACAAGGAATGATCCAAAGAGTTTTAAGGAGTGTTCAAATCAGGAGAGTAGAAATTGTGTTTAAATGGAGTCTAACGTGCTCGCATAACAGATGGAATCTCGGGGTGAGTACTCAGAAGTGATCTGTCCAACCAGATCAGAGTCTGAGCTGAGACAAGTGCCTCATTAGCCATTTCTCTGTCCTTGTTCTTTGTTTTAATCAGGGTAAGAAGTATGTGTGGTGGGGAGGATAGACAGGAGCTTCCCTGCAATTACCCTCTCAGCTGACTGTAGGCGCTGGGTGTAGACTGTGAGGGATAATGCCATGTGGGTGCCAGGAGCATACATTTTCCTTCTGATTGGATTCATTTCTGTTAGAAGGAAGTTCATAGCCCCACTGATTCCTGTCATCCTCAGTAGTTGCTTCTTTATGTTATGTTTTATCATAATTCCGAGTGTCTATCAGTTCCCAAAGTAACATCACTTAATTCTGCTTTTGCTTTCCAAAGCCATACAACACCAGCTGAATAATTCTCCCTGTTTTTTTTTTTAATAAAAAGAAACTGAGGCAATAAAGTCAGATTGTTGTCAGAAGATCACACAGGGTTAAAGGCAGACTTGCTTCCCAAGAGCATAGCCCCAGGGCTTACCACTAGATTATGTGGTTCTTCTAGTTTTTATGGCTCTTCCTGATTTTTCTTGGGGTGGGGGTGGGGGTTAGGCCCAGAGCAATGACCACAGATGAGAAAGAGCAGTCATGTGTGGGAACATGGCCTACACTGGGCACTCATGGGCCACGTCCCTCCAGCTGAGACTCCTGGTGATGAGATGAGGAAGTCAGAACCTGGAGAATATGGCTATTTCAAGATTTGGAACCAATCTGTTTCTTAACTGGCAAGCAAGCCAACAGCTTGTATGTATGTGTGTATGTGCCTATCAAGGCAAGAACTGAAGTCTACAGGATGTGTCAGAGCTGAGTTTGCACAGAAACTTCAACTCATGTAGGTCATTTATACAGGTATCTGTGTAACCCAACTTAGAAGTCCAGCATGGCTCCCTGTCCTCCCAGGGAGTAAAAAAACGTCAGCACAGGAGGGGTGGGAAGTCAGGTTGGGCAGCCTCTGCGAAGCCACCAGCACACCCCACACTAGCAGAAATCAGATAACAGATAGGACAGTTTCCTTCTCTGCTCTCTCAACATTTCCTTAAACCTTTTCATGACATTCAGTGTGCTCTCACTTTTAACCTAAGTACGGTATTCTTCCAGAATCTGTAGGACATTGGTTCTATAACATTCCATACAAGCTCTAGTACCTTCCCGACAGTGATATCATATTTGCATGTCATTTATATATCCCTCTAGTAGACTTTAAGATATGGCTTTACGATGTGGCCGAGGCTGGGCTGGAACTCATTGTGTAGTCCATGTTAAACTTGGATTACATGTTAAACATATTAAATGACCCTCCTGCCTCAGCCTCCCAAGTGCTGGGGTGACAAGTGAAGACCACGATGTTCAACTTACTTATTAACTTTTGAATTTTTGGAGACAAGTCTCACTGTGTTGTTCAAGTTAGCCTTGAGCATATCAGTCCCGTGCTTCAGTATTCCCAGGACTGGGAGTGTAGGCATGCACCACTGCCTACCTTCCCCCTGTGTACTCTAAATTATCTCTAGGTGATCTATAATATTTAGTGGGATATAAACTACATATAAATTGCTATTGTGCAGTAATTGTTTAGAAATGACAACGAAGGAAAAAATGCTATGCATGTTCAACATTGATGAAACTACCATGAACCTAACTTTGTAGCACACACAAGCAACAATATATCTTTGTTGTCTTTGAGATTGCTTTAATCTGAAGAGACGCAGGGACAGCATAGACCTTGGTACATTTTGTTCATCAGAACGTGAACATTTTAAGAAGCTAGAACATATCAAGTACTTTTCCCACAACCCCAGTGGAATATATATTATGCTCAGTCAGTGTTTAATACATTAGATATACAGAAATGAGAAATATTAGGACAGAAGACATGGGAAAGAGTTGAGCATTCAGCGAATAAGGATTTAAATTAGAGAGTTGCATGGTTAAGACTCAAGAGAAGTGTGAACACAGCAGAAGGTTGCTTCACCTCTGCTCATCCTGCAGAATTCTGAAAGCTTTGCCTTCAGGTGAGACCACCTTCTATTCCATGAAATCCTTCCTGGTCCTACCCCAGAATTCCTTTCTGGGACTCCCTCTTAATCTTCAGGTCCGATTCGTTCTTATGGGCTGACAGAATTCCTCTCCCTCCAAAGCCTGTGTTTGATTTTATGCCAGATAAAATGGACGATGGTGCCTACAGAGGATGGGATTCTTTCACGGTTCATAGCTCTTATTTAAGTGCTCGCCCCCAACTTGTCTGACTTCCAGCATGCCTTCCCTGTGCATAGCTGAGCTAACAGTCCAAGAAACTCCTAGAAAATTTCATATCCTTCCAGGAAGGAACACCCAAAGAAGGTCACTGCCATGGACACCAAGAGGAGGCCACCAGATGGTGGGAAGAAATGGGTGCAGACTAGATGAATGCAAATAGCATATGCTTAGCCAGGCTGCCTGCTCAAGCCCAGGTCCTTTAGAGGACTTCTTCCTGCATAGGAGATATAGGAACCTCACCTACCCCCTTCAAAACCCCTGACCTTTCTGCAGTCTGTGCCTGATGCCCCCAGCAACAGGGTCCTGAGTGGGAAGAGGAGAAGTGAAACCAATGAAGAATTATTCTCTAACAACAATGCCCTTCTGTTGCCTTAAGACGTCATCAGCCAGACATGTGCCCTGGCCCCCACTCTCCCAGCCCTGGGGAAGAGAGGTGGGTGGCTGATGTGAGAGACAGGAAAGCCACAACTCTAAGAAGGGGCACATCCCATCAGGGACTACTTAATCCAAAGTCTAGGAAATCCCAGGCAGCCCTCAAGCCAGGTTAAGACAAGCCTTGCATTCAGAGATTGAAAAAAAGCCAAAGACAAAACCCTCAGCCTTCTCCTCTGTGAATACATGCTACCTGCTTCTGCAAAGCCTGAAGGAGCCCCCCCAGAGCACAACTCCCTTTAGCATCAGCAGCTGGGTGGGGAGCCCAGCTTACAATGTCAAAAGCAGACCGTCACAGGGTGGGTCCCAGGTCCAATGGGTTTCCTATTCCTCCTGCTCCCAAAGTCAACTCTAAGATGGTGTTTGAGGCAGGAGTGGGTATCGAGTGAGGATAATAAAGTTTTCAGTGAATGGAAGCACAATGTAAGATTTCCTAAAGGATCAAACTCCAGGTTCTCTCCTTGACCCCCAACATTGAAAGGCAACAGGGTGAGCATCTCAGGCATTTTGACCAGGAGGTCATACGAATCCACCAATAGAGAGGAAGACACTGCAGGTTGCAACTGAGCTTTGCTGGGTCTTTAAATCCCTCCATTGGCTGAGACAAATCCACAGGAATTATATGCAATTTCACATGTTTTGCCATATTTTTTTATTGCCTTATTCATTCAATCACTCTCTCATTCATTCCCCCATGTATGCTTATATATAAATGTGTTTCTGCCATAGACTGCTAAAGGAACATGGAGTACAGAAACATAAGACATTATCCTCCCACAATCCCCTTTGGGGGGTAGAGGGTTCACAAGGGCCAATGAGGTGCCTGGCTACTGGGGAGGTACTCACAAGAGGCCTGCAGGATTGAATGGGACTGTAAAGATAACTAACATCTGTGTCCAGGCTGCCTCCCAAACCTGACATCCTGGCCAGCTAGCCCCACAGGATGAAAAGTGATAACCAGGAGCCAGCCCATGACCAGGGGCACAGACTGTCCAGCCAGGGGTGCCAAGAAGACTCAAGCAAGCTGGGAGGGGGTGGGGTGTAGGCTCTGCTGCTAGGTAGAGGAGCAGGAGCAGATGGCAAGCTTACCTCTTCTGCTGCAGCAGGTTCTGCTCGTCTCGGCTCTGAGCCCAGGACTCTTGTCTGTGGAACCATCTGCAGAACTTGTTCCATAGGCAGAGTATTAACCCCTTCTCCTTGGGCAGTGACCACCCCATGGGGTGGAAGGCTGGTTCCTTGGGGGGCTGAGGCTGATGCCAGACCCCGTCTGGGCTTGGTCTTGGGGCCACATTGGCACCCCCAAGAGCCGCCCTGCCCTCTCCCTGTAGAGGTCCCGTCTCCTGTCTCCGGTCTCCTCCTTCTCCTGTGGAACTGGTGAGGCTTCCCGTGGTGGCCCCCAGTCTGAAGAGGGCTCCTGCTTTGTTCCACTTGGCAGAGCTGGGGATCTGCCGGGCTTGTAGATCTGGAGCTCCTGTTGGGAGTGAGCAGGAGCTGTGTGGGCACTCCCTCCTCCCAAATTACCTGAGATTTAAAGAGACAGGCCACAAAGTCCTGCCTGCTCAGGTCGTGCGTCAGCTGCAACTCTCTCCACCCTGGAACTCTCCCTTGATCCTAGGCCTTCAAAGAGATTAAAGAGCTGGCCCCTGGACTTTGGGACACCCAGTGACCTTTTTCTGGGAAGGCTTTCTTGAGGGACTCTTAGCTGTGAGGAGGAGCCTAAGCAAGGAAAGGCCTTTTGTGGGATGGAGGGGCTTCTGCCTGTCTCTACTCAAGTCCTAGGGGTTTAAGTTCTCTCGGTTCTGGGTTTAAATGTCTTGACTGGCCCAGAACAGGTATATAAATAATGAAGACTTAGGTCTCACCCATGCTGAGTTGACAACTGCTTTCTTTAAAGAACCAGACAGTACATGTAAGTGTTTTAGGTGCTGTAAGCCTGGTACAGTCTCCAATGAACACTCTTCACTCTTTGGCTGTGGGTTTCTATATCACCAATACATAAAGATGTAAAATCCATTCCCAAGCTAACGAGTCAGGGTATAAAATTTAGCCATGGAAGAACGTGCGTCTGGTGGTGGTGGACTACCAGACAAGACACAGGTTGGGCCCAGTGAGGGGGCACCTACCTGTCATCCCAGCACTATGCAGGTAGGGGCAGAAAATAGAAAGAAAGAGGCCAGCCAGTGCTATACAGTGAGGCCTTGTCTAGAAATAAAAGGTATAAGAATGCGTAGTTAAATCTGATTGGGGGATAAATACAATTTTTTTATATGCTCTGGCAACTTTCTCAGAGACACTGGGTCACTGCCACTAGGCCCTATGATGGGGTGTGTCCACACAAACTCAGAGTGAACCTATGAGACGTTTTTTTATCTATATTTTGCCCATGGAGAAAATTGAGGTTCAAAGTGCTAAAGTGAGCCCCTCAGGTCACAGAAGTGACTGGTGGAGCCCCAAATCATGCCTGACTCCATAGTCCACCTTGTTTATGCTTCCCCAGGTATTTGCTCTAGTGGGCAAAATCATTTCTGCAGAGGTGAGAAGGTTTGCACAGACGTGGTCACAGGCGTCCTTGATCACAGCATTGTACCTCAGTAGGGTCCACCCAGAGGCTTATTCTGCTCACTTTTCCTATATGGAAGAAGCTAAGCTCTGTCTTATTCAAAATTCTGCTGCCACCCAGGGACCAGTTAGCTGAGATAGCACCCAGCTTTCTAAAGTCATATCTGCCTATCAATTTCCAACTGAAGCTTGTTTTTTCCCACGTCTCCCTCAAAGATCAGGAAGGCTCAACAAGGGACACGTGTTTGTGGTACAGTGAGTGTCTAATGTGTATGTGGCATGCCTGTGCTCTGTGTGTTGTGCGTTCTGTGTGTGTTGTGTATATGTGATGTGTCTGACATATGGTATTTCTAGTATGTATATTTTGTGGGTGCCTTTGATCTGTTCTTGGTGCTTTCTGTGTGCAAGCTTCATGGTGACTACAGTACTATGGGACATGTATAAGGAATCTTGTGTATTTGTATGTAGGATATACAATGTATGTATTGTGTGTTTGTTGGTATTGTATGTGTTGTGTGTTTCATATATACTAAACACATATAATGTGTCTTTTTTATGTAATGTTCATGGTGCATGAAGTACGTGTGCATCTTTGTGCTTAATAGGCATATAATAATGGTATGTTGTATATGTCTAGTATCTAAGTGTGGTATGTATGACGCAGCATGTATTTGCTCGGTGGGACCTGTCACATGTGTTGTGTGGGTTAGTTTGTATGAGCATGCTCAAGCATGGGTGGGGAGGAGGCTCTGGGGAGCAAAAGTGAGGTCTCTCTGTGGGTGGCATATGGAAGGGCCACCTTCAGAAAGAAACCACTCAAGTTACTGCTCTTGGGCCTAAGGCCAGGCCATACAGCCCTGAGCAAACAATGCACTTCGATTAGCTGCCTTCCCCACCCGCCTAGGGGTCAGTGAGTTCAAGCTGGGTGGGGGGGAAGTCTAGAATTCAAACCTTGAACCCAGGACCTTTGTGCCCATTAAGCCAAGTGTTTGTCTAATGCGGACTCACCCCACCTTCCCTGTCCTCTAGTGGGCTAGTGGAAGAGCAGGTAATGCAGCAAGGCTTGTACCCTACTGGGGAGTGTTACAACAGGAAGCTTGAAAGAAAAAGTAACCTAATACCCTTTCCCCTTCTACCTCAGCTTCCTGCACCCGGCTTTGCTGTTGTAAGAGCGGTACTGCTGGCGGAGCACTGACAACAGTATCAGAGTGAGTAGAGACACAAATGGGCTTGGTGGTCACAAACGTAGACGTCAAAGCTCTCTGTCTTTGTACCCCACAGCCTGCTCTTAGGGCACGGTGAGATGTGGACTCATGTCTCCACCAAGGCCTAATCACAGCACCTTCCTCCCTCACTCCCAGTCTTGTAGTTGAGAGGTTCGGTCACCACGCCTCCTGGGCTGCTGGTTCTGAGGGGACAGAAAGCATTCTGAAGAGGGCTTGGCTTTGTCCCCATGCCACCACTAGGCAGTATTGTGCACTTATGAGAGAGAGAGAGAGAGAGAGAGAGGAATTCATCTGGTAGCCCAGAGAATTCATTTAGCAGCCCAGAGCCACGGGGTGTCTTTATGCTGCAGACTGTGTTGGAGGAAAGGGAGCTCACTCTGTCGCAAAGACTGGCCTCAACTTGAGAGACTTGCAATCTCACTCTTTCTAAATCTATTTCTTCGGTGACAAATCTGAGGAGATTTGTGACACTACGCCTGTCAATCATCAGTCCATTCCGTAAGTAGCTTCTCCTCTGTTGGTCAGCAGACAGTGAGGACCAACCTGAAGTCTAGAACAGGCCAAAGTGCTGTGCAGAAACAGTTTGTTCTCTCTGGTTCTTCTTGCTTTGGGCTTCACCTCACCTCCAACTCTAATCTGGGGAGAGGGTCATAAAAGTATTACTGGCCACTTCTAGGGGTCACATGCGGGGGGACTAGAGATGCTAATGAGATTCTGTGTGTTTGCCTGGGCTTAAGTTGGAGAATGGGTCTGAGATGCCAATTTCTGTATTTGGCATTGTCTCTGAATCTTGATACTGTGCATACTGTCTGCCTGTAGGACCTGATGCAGGTATCTCCTAACACTCAGCAGCATCTGAACCTCCAGCTACTAGGTGACAACAGCCTTTTCTGCCAACGTCTTCATGGGGCTTTTACTGAGAGTCGCTAATAAAGAGTGTGTGTGTTTGTGTGTATGCATGCATGCGTATGTGTGTGCATGTGTGTATACTTACTTGGCTAGTGGGTGTGCAGAATTTACTTTGTAGATATATGGTATGTATATAGTGTGCTATGTGTACATCTGTGTGTGTGTGTTGTATATATCATAATGTGTGAAGTGCACACATAGAATGAACTAACTATATGTAGAGGTGGTACACAATATGCTTGAGGTTTTGATTTGTGGTATGTAGTATTATTTGTTATGTGTACAGCGAGTATATGTGTGGGCTGTGTAGTATTACATGCTATGTGCGTATTTAGCACATGAATGTGTATATGTGCTGCATGTATAGTGTGTTGGTGTATTTATACATGCGGTTTGTATTGCATACATGTTACATAATATGTTTGTTGTATGTGGTATGTACTTATGAATGCATGTGTTCAGTACTGTGGGACATGTATATATGTATATATGTGTTTTACTATGTGTGACTTGTATGCCTACATGCATTATATGTGTATGTGTTGCATGTTGAGTATATATGTGTTGTATTATGTTATGTGCATAAGGAAAGCACAGTTTGTTTGCATGTGTGGGTTACACATGTGTAGTATGAGGCTGTACATCAATAGCTAAAGCCCTATGGAGTCCGTGGAACTCTGAATTTCTAGCTTCTTAGACCTCTCCAGCCCTCCTCTCACTGGTTCCAGTGACTCTCTGGGCCCTCCTGAAAGGTGCATATGTCCAGTTTGGTCAGCAGAAGGCCTAGCCTGCTGGCGACTGCAAATGGTGGGGTCTTCAGGGATTGAGCTAGGGCAGGGCAGTAAGGGCAGTGAGGGCAGAAACAGTGCTTGCTGAGAGTGGAGTTTGTTCCAGTCACTGGGTTCAGTAGCCCTGAGTGCCAGCTCATATAGCCAGTGGAGGTTAGCAGGTGAGCGGGCACATCACACACACACACACCAGCGCTACCCACAGGTTGCCATGTCTGACGTGGAGATGGCAAGCTGATCTTTAGTGCTGGCTTTGTTGTGTCCCTGTCTGCGACTGGAAGACAATTTGTGCTGAAACCCTTCAAGATCCCTTTCAACTCAAACTACTTGTGATTCTGAAGAAATCTGAAGGTGTGGTTTTATGTGTACATAGAGACACTCCAGGTCTCACAAGTCAGGAGGTCTAATTCGTTGCAGAACTTCCGTACATCTCTCCCCTAAACACACCTTTGTTCATTTTCCTTCCCCCTGTCAAACCACAGTAGCTCCATTAGCTTGCTCTGCAGCCTCACTTTCTGTTGCCTCCTACCCTGGCCCCACTGAGCCTTGAGAAGCATGGTGGCTCTTCACACTTTGCCTCTTCAGAAAGTTCTAGCTAAGGAAAGTGGCTTGAAGGCCAAGGTGGTGGCTGCGGGCCCCTGGGAAGGCAGAGGCTGTGACAAACAGTACCATGGAGCTACTTCTACTTTCTAATGTATATGTGTGTACATTTTGGGGGGACAGAAATTGATATAGTCTTCATGTGAAAATGGATCAGTATGCTGGAGCAATGATTCTTTTTTTGGGTGTGGGGGCGTACTGTGTAAGTGTGCATATATCTATTATCTGGTTTCCTTCCAATGGTCCATGCATTTCAAATTCCACCTTGCCCCATGCTTTACAGGATTCATCCAGAGGTCATACATACATGTATTGATGGGGGCATCTACCCCCCTCTTGTCCCCTTGCTGGCACTGACTAGTCAATCTGACCCTGTCACCGTCCTATCCACGTCACCAGTGGAAGACTGCGTGGCTCCACCTTGGTGAGACAGGGTGCGTCCTGGGTCCAATGACCATATAGACTGGTCCACCTTGAGAATGCTCATGCTGATGGTGGCGCCTGTCTGACCCTGTCAATGCGTCTGGCACTTGTTCCTTAGTTTCCCACCCGGAAGATATCAGGGAGGGTCTGAGTGCTAGTTTTGAGGAACTTGGTGATGGCTTCCATGGGTCCGTGAAAGAACTTTGTACTGCCGGGCGGTGGTGGCACACGCCTTTAATCCCAGCACTTGGGAGGCAGAGGCAGGAGGATCTCTGTGAGTTCGAGGCCAGCCTGGTCTACAAAGGGAGTTCCAGGACAGGCTCCAAAGCTACAGAGAAACCCTGTCTCGAAAAACAAAACAAAACAAAAAAAAGAACTTTGTACTTTAGAGGAAGATGGGGAATCCCAGGGACCCCACAGCTCTGACCTCACTCACTCAACATCTGGATAGACGTGACTTAGGCCCCAGCAGGGGCCCCCTGGAGATATGGATGTGTGAAAGAAGGTATCAAAGTCCACAGCCTGCCCCTGGGTGAGCCACTGGTCCTGCGGCCTTGTTTTCCCCAGGCCTGTTTTTGTTCTGCTCCTTCCGTCTTATCTTTCCTCCTCACCAACTGTGAGGTTGTGTGCCTTCCAAAACTGCACCTCCATCTTTTCAGCCCTGCTCACTGCACCTGTTCTCTGGTCTGCAGAACCAAAGCGGAGGAAGACTGCAGACGTGCGCAACCCTCCAAGCCAATGAGCTTTGCCAAGCAGTAGGGAATGTGCTAAGGTGGGTCAGCTTCCGAGAAGAGAAAGGCAGAGAGAGCGAGCCATTGATTTTTCGCTGTGGCAGCTGCATTCCAGCTTCAAAGCTGTGAGAACTCACTGGGTGACTTGGAGAGTCATTGACCAGCAGGGCTCCTGATTTGGAAAACTAAAGACTCAGTGTCTTGTGGCCCCTGCTTCTTACTCATTCCTCTGTCCTTTCAGGTCACCCTTCACCCCAACCTCTGTGTGAAGGAAAGAAGGCATTGCATTCTCATATTGAGGAGCTTCTCAGAAATGGATCTCCCCTCTGCTCACCTCAGGCGCTACACTAAGTAGGGAGAGAAAAACGAGAAGGCAGCAGGGTGAATCTGGGCATACAAGCTCCGGATCACCTTCTAGCTCTGGGTGGGCGACGGATGATGATTCCCAACATTGGCAAATTCCAGAATTCCCCAAAATCAAAACAGAGGTGGAAACAAGGTGTACATCCTCTCCGGCCAACCAAGAGTGAGCCAGCTTGCTATCCAGGGCAGTGTCTCCGCGTTCCAGGTTCAAATCCATCATCTGTTTCTACTCTGTATGAATCATCTGTTCACTCAGCCAAAGATCTGGGGAGGTGGACACAGCACCATTGAGCCTAAAAGAAACAGTATTGTTAGGGCTCATGAGATGGTCCTGCATTTCTTTATGGCTGCTCAAACCCAACCCACCTTGGAAAGTGCGCATTCGATTCTAGCCACAGCCCTTCAGAAGCAGCTCTGCTGGGGCACGTTTTATCTCTGATCTTTCCCCGATTTGTTCCCACCTGCAATTATTCTCTTTTTTTTCTCCCCACCCCAACAAACTCAGTGAAAGGGCAGCCGGTGATAAGAACTCTTTCAAATTCTATTTATTCAACATGAGCACTCACCGAAACACCCTACCACCTTCGTCATAAAACCAAGCCAAAAAAAAAAAAAAAAAAAAAAAACCAGACTTGTAAAAGAGTAGGGGTGATTGTTTAATTGATTGTTTACACGTGTAAAACTGGGAGGGGACAGCTTCCTCTTCTAGATGGATGCTGCTGGTGTAAGGGTCCACGGTGGGATGGAGGAGGCATGTCTGAGACTGGGGGAAGATGCTGAGCCCTGGAATCAAGATGCAAGCCTCTGGTTCTCACAGGTGGGGAATTGTAGTTCAGCCTATGATGAAGAGGAAGCTGAGGTCCGCTGCCTGCATGGTTCAGATGGCAAGTTACCATCAAGCTGGGGTACAAGGGGCTGGATGGGGTTCTGGGCTAGATACCTGAGTAGGGCGTGGTGGGAGGCTGAGAGGAAAGTGGAGAGGCAGCGGCCGAGGGGGCCAAGAAGAGGTGACCTGGCGAAGAACAAGGCAGGGCCTGAGGCCAAACAGCACATTCTCTAGGTGACTGTTGGGCAATTCTGGGTCTACCTTTGCAGAGAATGTGCAGTCCCTGGTCAGTCACTAAAATAACAGGAAACGGAAAGAAGGCAGTGCGGGGGAGGGGAGGAGGTGGAGGGATCTTAGCTATTCTGCAACTCCTGCCCATGCCCTCCCTGGTACCAGGCACAGCCCCAGAACAAAGGGCAAGGTACTGGCCCATGTGTAGGTCCCTATATATACTAGGATATGGATGACTGAAGAAGCCACTGGTGCTTCTTCTGTGATTGTTTCGCATAGTTGTACTAGAGCATGCATAGGGCTGTAGGGGCTAGGGACAGAGCATGAGCTGAGTGACCATCAGCTAGAATACGCAATGAGCTCTTGATAGGGACTGTGTCACACAGTTATCACAATATCACAGAGCCACATGCTGTCCATGGGGAACAATTCTCCTGCATGGCTCCCATTCGCCTTCCTCTCCCTCCTTCCCTTGTTCTGTCTCCAAGCTGCCGCAAGGTTGGGCAACCATTTTTGCTGTCCGGCTGGTCCATAAGGCCTTGTGCAGAGATCAGAGTGTACAAGGACACCACCAGAATACAGGACTGCCAGTGAGCGTTAACATCCAAATGGCTGGCACGTGAGTCTTAACCAGGGTTGTCTGTCCACATGGAGGGCAATCTACTAAAGCATATTGCTTCTGAGAGGTATATAAGTGTCCCTGGGCTAACATAGCTTCAAAGTCTCGCTGGGTTTCAGAATTTGTAGAGAAGGTGGTGACCCACGTGCCTGGGTTAGATTCATCCACCTGTCCGTATAGGTGAGGGAGATATGTCTTTCCAGGAGCCCATAAGCCCTGGATTATCTTCCTACTCTGAACTTCTCCGGCCTATGACCTCAACTGGACAGTCTGAGAATCGGCTTCCTTGTCTGTAAATTGGAACATTCATCCTTCCCTGTTAACTTTATAGGGCTGTTGTTAGAATATAGGTGATAATGGACATGAAAAGATTTTATATGCTATAAAGTGTGGTAGGAATGTTAGCCACTTGCACGTGATCATCTTTGCTTGGGTGGGAATATTTGAGACTGGAGACCTGTCTCGTCTCAAGCTGCCATCTTATAATGGAAGCATTGGCTTTGAGGCCAGAAACCTTTTAGTGTGAAGTCAGATTTGGCTAATTTCTGCTTGGATGATCTTGGGCAAACAGTCCACCTGTCTGAGACTCAACTTCCTTGTCTACAAAATGAGCACAGTAACAGTCACTTCACCTTGGGCAAGAAACTCACCTTTCTCTGGCCCTTTATTGCCTGTCTGTGAATGAGAATAGCAGTTAACTGATGGGCTTGTAGGAATTAGAGGCAGGTGTACAGGGCACCTGGCCCCTTTTCCCTGTACAGTAATAGCCTCTGTTTTGAATCCCTTGGTTTTCTCAGGCTCTTTTCCTGTTCTAGAGCACTTTTCAAAACCAGGTTAATTCCCATTGTCAAGCTCTCCATTCCATTTAGGAGGGAAACAGATCCAAATCTAGGCTGTTTTACCTACACAGGTAAGTTTCTATATGGCACATTGCATGTCTTACCTCATCCATTTCGAGGAGCGCTTAACCAGGCCATTGACTTTTGTGGAGGAGAGACTCTCTGCTCAAATAGGTATGATTTTTCTATGATAGGCTCTTCGTTCATATCAGCCCTGTCCAAGCTCAAGAAGAGGCTTTAGCCGTCCTAATTCCGCAATGCTTTAATACGATTCCCCTTGTTGTGGTGACCCCAACCATAAAATTATTTTCATAGCTGCTTTATATCTGCAATTTTTCTACCCTGGTGAATCGTGACGTAAATGTCTACATTTTCCAATGGTCTTAGGGGACCCCTGTGAACGAGCCTTTCAATCCCTCCAAAGGGATATTTACCTGCAGGTTGAGAATGGTTGCCCTAAGTGGCCTACCCTTTATCCCCAGCTTATTCACTGAAGGGCAGCCCAAATGCTGCACATTCTGTAGCCAGTTCCATCGATCCAGACTCTTTCCTGATTGTGCGTTCCACCTCTCTTCTGCTCAGAGTGCATGACGACCTACAATATGAGCAGCCTTCTTTCCTTTACTATTTCCTCCACTCTCAGATCCCCCAAGGAAGAGGCCAAACCACACTGTATTCTTCTCTATTCCCATTAGTGCACTTGGCCTAGAGTTGAACTATGATTTGTGAACAACGAACTGTGCCAAGAGATTTACAAATCATTTAGTATGTATATTTGCTTTCCAGGGTGAAGTGAGATCAATGGGGAAGAGAGGGTCCAGAATGTGGCAAAAACTAATGGGTGGAGGAGTCCATGGGAGTTGGGGGTGTTAGTGAGTCCACAGTGTCAGGCCATCTGCTCCTAAAAGATTTATTGTCTTGAAAGTGGTCAGGGTACAGCACATGGGGTGAAGGAGGGGGGGTGAGGCACGTAGTAAAGGCACGTATGTCCCAAGCTACTGTCACCTTTTCTGATATGAGCTACCTCTTCCTAGGTACCTGCAATCTGGTGGGAAGAAGTGACCCTTGTGTTAGGAATTTTCTTAAAGTGAGCTCTCAGCCCACACAAAAATCCAATTATACCAAATCACAAACAAGCCAAATTAAAAAATATCCAGGTTTAATGGGATTCCTGCACTCTTGGGTGGCCCCGAGGGGAAACCGTGAACACAACCATGGGGGGGGGGCAGGGGACTTTCTGGGGAGCAGTTTAAATAGACTGGGGGAGTGGTCAAGATTTTGGCGGGCTGTCTTGACCCTCCTCCAGGGAGGGGCCTCCAAAGATAGAGACCAGAGACCAGGACTTACTCCTTGGTGTAGCAAAATAGCACAGTGGTTTAAGGATTCAGTTTTCTCCATGAATGAGAAAGAATAAGGAGAGTTCCATAAAAGGAAAAGAAGCACATCTAATCTCAGCCCTCCTTTGCAGCTTCCTCCTCTGAAATTACCTTATATCTTTCCTCCTAAGGGAGGAAAACTGAAGGCCTAGGAGAGGTCTGGAGTCAAAGGAGTCTTTCAGAGGAGTTAATCATCCACTGGTGGTTAGAGTTTTTAACCCTAGGTCTCAAGAAGGGCCTAGAGGCCACAGACAGTTTCATGATATTTCTTTGATATGTGTTTTATTCTTATTCCTTTTACTTATTAACCCTGAATTAGGAGGCAACTGGGCACTGAAGGAAAACAGAGGGAATAAGAACAGACCGAGCCAGGCGCAGGTCAAGATATCGCAGTGCCTCCTTGCACCATAAAATCTCAGCCTGCACGCTTTTACATGCATGCTGCCCGCTTCCACATGCATGCTGCTGTTTTGTCTTTGCAACTGTGCCAGGGAGACAAGTCAGAAATCAAGATGATCACTGACTCCTAGCCAAGTTCCCTCAGCTAATCCCATTAGCAGAGCTGGGGGTTGGAACTGAATCTATTCCTGACTGTATTGTCCCTGAAGGACCTAGCTCTAGACAGGGCTCTGTTCAGTGACAGGAATGGAGTATACGGGTTCCTGAATTGGCCTTTCATATGCTTAGGACCTAAGGTGGTCAACTCGCCAGAGCAATCTGCCCTGGGACTAGGAGAAGGAACCATATTGCTGTGATGAACACATGTGTCAGCCTCATAGTTGACTTCGTAGATGGCTGAGCAAGGTGTCAGGAGTGAGGCCTCAGAAAGCAGGGAATGAGGGGTAGCTTTATTGGATAAGGTTGGTCCTCGGGAGTCACTAAGGACCCTTCTACCTGTCACTGCTTGGGGAGGAGCAGACTCACAACATTCTATTTCCAGCTGCTGCCCAGCCTTGCACAAGCCTCTGCACCCTCAGGCTCAATTGGCTCTAATTGCCACCTCCTCCATTCTGGGATGACAAAGAAGACTACAAGCAGGGTAGAGAAGGTGTGTCCAGCCCTTCCCCAGGTGGCTCCTGCCCGGTTGTTATGCCAAGCAGAG